CTGCTCTGCTAACAGCACAGATCACGCGAATGATGAAAGATGACGACCACTTGCGCTTGTGTGAACTGACAACCAAGGATTTTTGGCGTGGTGAGCTATGATTTTTCCAGTTGATTAAGTTTCTCCGGTTAAAGCTTGACAAGAACACGTGATCCACGGCGGTATATTGACGTCAGCAAGGCCTGGCAGACATTGATGAACGAGTATGTCCACACGAATCCGTCTCACCGCTTCCAAATAACCGCAGCCTTCCTCAAAATACGACGGTCGCCATGTCCACTTACGACCCAGAACCCGCGAAAAACGGCCACCAAGTTTGATCACTACGACGTTCACATAACTTTTATAAGAACGTACAATATCGGCCAAACGTTCGCCCATCGGAGCCTGCACAAGTTGCCAGCATCGTGTCGACACTGAAAAGCCCGTGTCGCCGGCTGTGCACCGCGCACTCTCCCCAGGCTACTCTCTCAGATCTGACAGCGCCCAAGGGGCGAGAGGAGCGTCGGTGGTCTGAGTCCAGTTCAGGCCCTGACGGGCGCCAGCGACACGTTCAATGCGCGCCTCGGCGCAGCAACAGGGCGATACCCCCACTGTTGGTGTGAACCGATCAAAACAGTCGCTGCCCTCTTCTCTGCCCGATCGGTACACATGGGTTCGAGGCCGCCGCTTCGGTGATCCGGTGCCGGACGCGTTCTATCCCCCGTCCGTGACAGCCGCGCTAAAGATAGGGTCGCCAACTGCGTGCAACGTCCCCCACCCACCCCCACCCCCAGCCGGCGGCGGAGCGCGGGCCCCAGCTGCGTACGGGGGCGGCCGGTCGATATCCCCAGCACAACCGGGGCAGGGTCGGTGGCGGGTGGCGCATCAGGAGAGAGTCGCGTCGTCATCAGCCGGCCAGCATGGCGGCCAGTGACGCACGCAGCCTGAGTGCAGACGACCGGAGAGCCAGCCGAGCCGACCGTCACTGGCGTCGGTCGGAGGCGGCCGACACCGGCGCGCGGCCGGCAGTGGCTCAGAACACGCCCGCCGCAGGTTCACACTCCGACTCGCTCCAGCCGACTGGGGACGCAGCTCCCGAGGGCGCTTCCCCAGCCATCCTCCGCGTCCAGCAGCAGATGTTTTCTTCAGTAATATTTTCAAGCATATTCCCAAACAGATGTTCTCCTCCGTTTCTTCAGAGCAAGCTGCACGCGCTGTCGCTTAATTTTTGGAACGATACACTGATGCCAACCTGGATTTACACCTGTCACGTCTTGATTGGTACCTCGTGACTGCCGCTGGGCGCCGAGCGCGTACGTGACGCAGCAAATCTGGTAGACGGTGACGGGGAACAAGTCACCGTGTTGTTGTTATTCAGCTTCACGGGCCGAATAATAGTCACATGACGCCCACAGTGATCCTTCTGATTTGTCTGCCAATGATATTTTTAGTCAATGATGTTTCTGGGAGTAAACAAAAACACGAGCCTTAAGACCTGCCTCAAGGATTGGTCGACCGCGACAGGTAACATTACTACCTAAGCTCCAGTATCGGTATTTCGTCTAAGGTCCGTCCGGAACTGGCTTAGGAACTGGCCAAGTCTTAACCACCAAGGCGGCCGCGTCAAGCCAGATCGGAATGTCAACAAAATCCAATCACCGCAAAATCCTGACGTCAAATCCAAGACGACGAAAGAAAGCGGCGGGCCATTCCCTCGTCAACTGAAATCGGACCGAGGCGGCTCAAACCGAACCCGACCGTACGACCATTACAACGCCGCGACTCCGGTGCACATGTCCCAGCCGTGCGCCAGATACGTCGCAGGCCGGACCAGCCCGGTGCGCGTGATGCTGCATCGATCGCGGCAACCGCGTGCCGTTTACCGGATGGTACGCTCGACCCCGCCAGACCACCATCACGCCACGATCGCGCCACGCGGTGACGCAGCGGCGCGCCCCGACGGCGCCCCCGACGGCGCCACGGCGGACGGAGCGGTCCGCGTCCGCACAAGAGACAGGAGCCAGCGCGGTCAGAGCCGGCTCCCGCGGGAGCATCCGCTGATCGGGTCCAGCCGAGGTCGGCCCGCCCCGCCAGGATGTAGTACAACAGGGTACGTAGTACCCCCCCCCCCCCCCACACACACACACCCTCGAGCTAACACTTCGCGTCTCACAGTAAGGCCACTGAGGCTTGGATTTGGCGGTAATTCAGGTCAGAGCCGCTGTTAGGACAGCACGTCCGGCGTCACTTTACGTGACAGCCAGCGCGACGGCGGAAGCCGGCATGAATCACGCGCCCCACTTCGCACTCCTCGTTTTTTGGCGTTCCGCGTGGGCGTCATGCCGACACTGTCCGCCGTGCATTCCCGACCGCAGCGCTAGCAGACCAGTGACGTCACAGACAGCACGTGCTGCCGCCCGGGGGCGAAGCGGTGTCGGGACCCAGAGTCCGGATCTGCAGGGGAGGCTCCGGCGGCCGTGACCAGTGGCGGCCCGCTGCGCCACGCGGCGCAGCCGCGAGTTAGTATTTTCAGCGTGGCGTTTCTGGCACGTCACGTGGCCGACCAGGTCAGCAGCATGGCGAGGGCCGGCGTCGCCGGGTGTCACACGGCGTTCGCCGCGGTCACGTGACGCCAAGACGCGCCGCCCGCGGTCCGGCAACATCACGCAGCATCGCGTGGCGGCCCGGTAGCTCAGATAAACGCATGCAGGTCACGTGCGTCGGCGGCGAGCCGGGTCTGGAGGCGTGTCAGCGCCCGGCCCCCGCCTGAAGACCACCGCCGGCAGGCAGCTGACCGGACCCGCCCCCTGACGGGCTCCACCGGTGACGGCTTCGTCAGCCTCGCGTGCTGCCGTGCAGGCTTCTTCGAGCGTCATCGCCGAACAAACCGGTGACGAGTTTCCCGCAACGGTTCCAGGGGTAAACGCGTTTACAAAATCGCAACGGAATCCTCTTAAGAGCGGAATGTTAGTACGCAATATGATGCATGTCTTTGAAACAGTCAACGCACTGGGTTGTTGATACTCAACGCCCAACCTGTCTAATTCAATGATTCTACTATCATTGTAGGTTATCCTTTTCGTCTACGTTGAATTCTTCACGGCAAATCAGTTCCCGAACAATACGAAACATTTACTATTTACTGCGTCCGAGTCAGACACTATACCTAATGCCCAGAGACACATAACATAATTGTATGAATGTATGGCGCACAAAGACGCTCTGGCTAAGAGGAACAGCGGCCGGCTCTGATTGGCCGACATGCGTCACCGGACGCCGTGCGTTGTGCACTGCTCACCACCGAACCTACGCTACACTTCCTTGCAATCGTATTTGCCCACGGCACGCATTGCGCCGTCAGGTCCGCTCCCGCGGGTCGGTCGCTTCCGGCATCCGAGCGGACGTCCGCATACCACTCAACGCTGGTTCGGAGGAACGGCGACTGACGAAGGCACCGTCCATACAAGTCGTTCACGCAATTGAGTACCGTCGCCAATTCGTTACCGAGGAGAACAGACGGATGTTCGATAGTCGCACTGCCATTGGACGGAATCTTCCAACGGCGTACAACGATATTCGTCGGACGGGCTTTTGTACAGCAGGACGCGAGGAACTGAGACTGATTTACGAACAGTTTTGATATTGCGTTGTTTTAGGGCCTTGGATATTACAGGCACTTTGTTGCAAACGCACGTGACAAACAATTTGGCAGCGTTCCCCGTTGGATCATTTTCCGTCCCTTCTTGTTTTCGTTCGACGGCGAAATCTGTTGCCGATTTATTTTGGGACTGCATGACGTCACACCCACGATTGCGCAAGAATGACGTAAGGACACGTTGTCCAGGCAACGCCAGCGCTGTTCGATGAAAATGCGCGTTGTGTGCTGAGTCATCGTACGGAACTACGCAGTTAGCTGCGTCATCCTACAATGGCCCGCGACCATGGAAGCGCGCAGCTATGACGCAGCGTGGTGTGATATATGACGTCATCAGCTGCGTAAGTCCGTAAGAAGTGTGCTGGTGATAATTTTCAGCGGGACCATATTGTTTTCACTTTTCGAGTCAAGAATGACAATTGCATCACAAAGCTTCGACCTTTGTTGTATCACGTGGTGGAGTGGCATAGAATAAGACCTGCAAACCTATGCAAGATTGTCTAGGGTGCCGCGAGCATCCCAGACAAAAGCGGGGACTTCACACAGAATGCAACACCACGGAGTCGGTCTGCTACAGGGATTCCGACCACCCGTAACACCTGAACGGACGGAGCGCTAACCCCGGTCACCATCATGGGGCGACTTTCGCTGTCCTGTTTGCGTATTCATTACGGGACACAAAAACGTCATTAGTGGAAAAAAATATGCTGCAAAATCACTCAATGAGCAGTTTTCTCGCTGGGCCGCTAGGTCCGCGAAAAACGTCACTACTCGTAGGGATTCATGTCTGCCCTATTGTTTATGGGCACTGTACGCCCATTTGTGCGATTACCCTCCCCCCAATTTTGCTTGTAGAAGGCTTGTTTTTACCTTCCAACTCCAAATGTCGTTTTCATTACAGGTTTTTTCCTAGATGCCAGTCTCCCCCATCCAATCCTGATTGTCACCGCCATCTCAGAGTCGTGATCACGCCCACGCACAAGAAATGCGAACAGCCTTTTCGCAATACGTCATCTGTATGCAATAGTTGCGTGGGAGCAGAGTAAGAACACTTTTCTTATTTAGTAGCTTTGCAACACATCTTTGTCAGATGACATTTTTTACATCTTTCGGGATCAATATGCGTCCAGTCCAGCATTCCCCGCCCGTCCCGTCCGCTGGACCGCGGGCGTGACCGGGGTCTGCTGGGGCCGGGCCGGTCCCGTCCGCCGGACCGCGGGCGTGACCGGGGTCAGCTGGGCCCGGCCCGGTCCCGTCCGCTGGACCGCGGGCGTGACCGGGGTCAGCTGGGGCCGGCCCGGTCCGCGCAGCTGTAGTGGCTGGAGCGGCCGCTCGGCCCGGCAGGGAGTCGGGCGCGCCTCACCTCTGCCGCCTGCAGCTCCAGGTCCACCAGAGGCGTGAGCGGGGTCGGCTGGTGCGAGTAGTAGTAGGTGGCGGCGGCGGCCACGGCGGTCAGCGCCACCGCGCCGCTGGCGCCGCCTATCGGCTCCAGGTACTGGTCCATCAGCGCCACTGTGAACACCGGGCACAGTCACACGCTGTGGACACCGAAGTCCGCTCCGCCGCTAGCGCCGCCTACCGGCGTTCTCAGCGCCACCTACGGCGCCCATAAGCGCCACTCTCAAACACGGGGCGGAGGGGGGGGGGGGGGGGGGAGGGGGGTACAGCCTCACGTTCGGTTGCTCACACGCCGGTTACATACTGAACAGCACACACGTCAGTTACATGCTGAACACATCGACCAGGGACCACACCGCACACAAACGGCGGTTTGGCGTCACCCGCGCCAGCCAGCACGCACTAAGCGGTTCGTGCTTCTTCGATCGGCCCGCAGCGGGCAATGCAGTCATACGGGGGGTGCCACGAGCGGACTGACCCACGCACGCGGGCTGAGGTTGTCGGTATAATAGCCGCGTCGTGCGTTGGTGCCAAAACAAGGAAACGCGCCGGCAGAACCCAGCCCGTAAGTATTGATGTGCTTCACCGTGATCATAACACATTTCCAAACGGTAATTCACTTTGATTGTCCCGTACCAAAACATTGCAGGACGTAGGTTGGGAACGGGGCACTACGAAGTTCATCCCCTCTGGTGGAGAGTTTTCCTGGAACCCGAGGCCGGGTCCCACATCACGCGCCGACCTTCGTAACGCTAGAGGCCGTCTACACATGCCTAGCGCAGGTGCCTGCATCAACGCTCCTCCCCATTCCGGAACCTCTGGGCGGCTGGCTCGAGGCCTGAACGAGGACAAACCTCGTTACTAGCGCCATCGATTTCTGCCGTTCGCCGCGAGTTCACTTTCGAAGTCTGATTTGGTTGTGGCGTGCCCGGCTGCGGCCGATCTGTGCTGCGTCGAGGCCGGGTCACATCAGCCCGCCCGCCCCCCCCCCCCCCCCTCCCACGACAGGCGGACCAAATGATTTGGGACGCTCGCTGTAATGAGCGCGGCAGTGGCACGCTTTACGAACGAACGAGATGGATGTGGGGATGAGGGATGGGGGATGGGTGGGGATATGGCGCATCCCAGGGCGCCCCAGGCCCACTTCGCACATGGACATTTGCCGCACTGTCGTCCCACCAAGACTCCCTTCGCCAAGAAGCCAGGACACAAAAGGCCCCACAAAACATACGTAAAGCGGCGCCCTCAAGCCCCGATGAATGAACGATGCAAAACCCAGACAGAGAAACATCCTAAGCCCAGATAGACAGCATTCCTAGCCGGCATCGAGGAACAGTTCTAAGCCCGGGCAGAAGGCGTTCCAAGTCCATGTGGAGGGGCGTCCGCCAGTCCCAGGCGGGCCCACATCCCAAGCTTACACAGAAAGGCGCAAGCCTAGGCGGAGGGATGCCCCAGACTCCAGGAAGGGTGGCACTCATAGTAATGTTAGGGGAGCGGTCCAATGCCCCGACAGAGTGGAGCACAAGCCGCTGAAAATGAACACCCTCAATCCTTTGGGAAGACGGGTCACCCAACCCTGGGTACAAAAGCACCTGCCCTCCTTCCCCCCCCCCCCCCCCCCCAACTAAGCCTAGCAGAGGCGCTCCAGAATTCCTGTAGAGGGTCACCCATAGAACATGAAGCGGAGGAGCGCCGCAGGTCGATACGGAAGTATACGCAAGCCTACAGACGATACATGGGAGTCCATGAGCGTACCTGCAGATCCCCTCCCCCCCCCCCCTCTTCCCCAAGTCCCAGAACAGATGTACTTTTTAACACGCACCCGGGTGGCCGGCTAGATACCTTTCGCTTGGGTGGGGGTCAATTTGAGCCCCCCCTCCCTGAGATCTCGGGAACTAGAGGAGCTAGAGACACCAAACTTACAGGGTATGTTGACCTGTACGTGAACCCACTTAGGTCAAATTTGGGGTTCCTAGGTCATGACCTTCGGGTCAAATAAGGTCAAACAACGTCAAATTTCAGGTTGGTCTCCAAAGTGCCCCCAGAACCTAGCTAACTGTTTCTAAGCAAACGGTCACACGCTCAGTAAAGGTCATTGACCTTATTTCACCTTCTGAAGGTCATGGTGACCAAAATCATACAAGACTGCTCTGAGTTTTGCATTTGAATAAGCGATAGCAATTACGCTAGGCGGTATATCTCTAAAAATAAAATGTTGACCTGGGTCATTTTAGGTCAATGACCTATTATAACCTCTAAGAAGTCCATGGCAGATGTATAATGCGGTTCCTGCCATCAAACAATTAGAAATGAGCACCAAAAACTAACCCCACACAGCAAGCCCTAGAGCAGTAAAACAGGTTGGTTTTGACCTTGGTCTTACCTTCATACCTGACCTTAGATCAACGTTACTTGTTCATTCAATATTGGTGCTGCCTAAGAAAGCATCTCAGAGATGGATGGCTTCGTCTAACACTCCGTTGTTTCATCAGATTGAACGATTCCCTAGAAATTGACTTCGCTGAAACCATGGCCTGAGTTTGACCGGCCATAGGTAACCGACCTTACAAGGCACACCTACATTTTTCTACCAAACGATCCGCTATTGAATTCTCTACAACTATGCAAAATTTGGCGCGGATGCGCCGCCCCGTTCGGAAACCATTCTGGAAAAACCTCCGGGGGGGGGGTCAACTTGGCCCCCTCCACCCGGGCGCGTGTTAATATGCACGGGGGGGGGGGGGGGGGTGCGTACATGTTGAGAGATGAGCATTCCGAGCCTACGAGGCATCGTGACTCAAGGTCTACGCGAATCCACGCTCAGACTTATCTAGGCACCCCAAACACTCGTACAGGTGCGCCCGCAGGTCTGGGTGCAGGAGTGTCCCCGAGCCTACGTGTAGGGGCGCCCTCCAATCCTAGGTGCAGGGGTGCCCCCAACTAAGTGCAGGGGCACTACAAACAAGCAGCAAATCAAATCGACAAGCATACCGAGCCGGCTAGGCCTTTCTGGTGCCTGGGCACACACGGGAAATATCAACACCTAATGAAGGGTCTCGCAATGTCCAAACAACTTGAGGGCGAGGTCAAGTTCAAGGTGAGGCCTGACAGCACTCCGATGAGGGACGCTTGTACATGTCTAGTGATACACACGGATACCACGGCAATGCCTCTGATAAATTGAAGGCGGGTGGAGATGTCCTCCAAAACAACGCAGAAGCATTCCACTTGTATGTGTGTCAAGGGTTCAGTGGAAGTGGATCATTACATCGTGTTTTTAAGTAGTTAGTTCACCTAACTGGACAAGGTCAAGAACGCTCTACGTTATTCGACCAGCAAACAGCGTCGATAAGCAACACCAGAATTCAACACGCAAAACTCCCCGTTCCACTCACGACAGCTGACACAATATTCTTCTAGCTAAGTGCAAGTGCTCAAATTCGATCAAAATGGTCGCACGGTTGAGCAAATCCATTTACAGAAGCCATTGATGTCGTCATCGTTGTCGTGATCACCTGGCGTCAGAAGCTGGGTGCCGGAGACCACGCGGACGCACAAATTATCAGCCGTGCTGAGGATGTCAATCCTGGCGTACCGACATTCCAAAATGTCACATATTCGGGCATACAGCGGGCACTTGCCGTTAGATACCACCGGGCATCCCGGCACGGTATGAGGATATCGCCGTCATAGCAGTCACCAGGTTAGTCTCCGCATTTATGTGCGGAGTATGACACTGCCTTCCCACGGGCGCACCTGTGCAGTGGAGCGACGGGGCGCTCGCCGGACGGGAAGGAGGCTGTTCGACCACACAGGGCGTACCTGTACAGTGGAGTGACGGGACGCTCGCCGGGCGGGAAGGAGGCTGTTCGACCACACAGGGCGTACCTGTACAGTGGAGCGACGGGACGCTCCCGGGTGGGAAGGAGGCTCTTCCACCACACAGGGCGCACCTGTACAGTGGAGCGACGGGACGCTCGCCGGACGGGAAGGAGGCTGTTCCACCACACAGGGCGCACCTGTACAGTGGAGCGACGGGACGCTCGCCGGACGGGAAGGAGGCTCTTCCACCACACACTGACCCCCGTCCACGGCCTCCCACAGGCCGACGCACACCGGAAGGACCGAGAGAACGCGTCGTATCCGTCCTACGCCCCGCCGCAGCGACCGCACTCCGCAGCTGTGGCTGCGTCTGGCCCGCTGACCGGGCGGCTTGCGGTCATCCGTCGCCGCTGACCGGCGCGGCCGGGTGCCGTACCGGCCTGCCCGGTCGACACCGCGACCGCAGCCTAACCGGCTCCGCTGCCGCCGCTGCCGGAGCCGGTCAGACCGCCCGCCCGGGCCGGCGATCGCGCAGACGGGCCGCCGCCGCCCGCCGCCGGCCCACCGAAACACGGCCGGGCGCACGTGCACGACTGGCGGCGCCCCCTGGCGGAGGTTCGCCGGCGACCATCGTCAGGCGGCGTTTACGACGCCGCGGCCAAACCAGGCATGTTAAGTTACATTCCGGGCTCTGACAGATCTGAATGGCGAAGAAACAGATCCGAGCTGAAGCAGTATGCCCTACTTGCCTTAGCATGTCAACTGCTGTTCCGACACGGCCCGCACGATCTGTACGCTTTTCTGCGCACGCTCTATGGCACCGATCCAGCGCTGATGTCCAGCTAGTCCGTGCCCAGTCAGGTAGTCCAGTCGGCTAGTTCGTGGCATGGCAGCGATCCAGTCCTGAACCCCAGTCATTCGGTGCCTACATCGACTGTGAGGGATGCAAACGTCACAGGCTCCCACCGGGACGTGGTCTCTATTTTGGGCACCGACACGTGCAGGTGTATTTGGCGTTGAGCTGCTGCTGTTCCCTTCCGCTTTATGTACTACTGGCAGATACTGAACTTACAATATTGTATGCCCAAGCCAATGGAGTACAGCTAATTTCGATGCAAAAAACGCGGACAAGTACTCAGATAAGTGCTGTTAAGCGCGCCATGCAACTGCCCATGATATTTAATGGGATTTGAAGCCAACAGAAGTAGCCTGATCTCAACATTGCAGAAATGCATTTCAGTGCCTTAGTGAGAAGCTAAAAACTATCAATTACGCCCCGCCCTGACGGGGGA